AGCAACAGGTCAACAGTCCCAAATGCAGCCATAGACTCCATAGACGTGGATATGGATAGCCCGGGCGCCAAGAGGCCATGTCCAACACCCACAGGTGCACAAGAAGGAACCCCCCTCACCCTTGAAGTGTTCCAATCAGTCATCCAGCTCTTTGATCACTAGAGCGGGCACTGTGGAGACAAGAATTGGACAAGTTGAGACAGCATTTAAAGAGAGGACAAAGGAACCAGTCAACTTGCTCACCTTTGCTCACCAAGCTGGAAACACACCCTGTCTTTCTTTCCAGAGCCAACTCCACCACAACAATGGAGGACAAGCAACCAGCACTCATCATGGGTGGCTGGGCCGATGACCAAGAGGCAAGCACCACCTTACAATTGGCAAACGATGCTTGCGATCATCCCCTACAAGCCAAAGGACCATGAGAATGAGAGGGCCATGTTCTCGAGACTCACTCAAGCAATTCAATAAGTGAGACAAGCCAATCAAGCCGCAGGAGCAGTGGGACCCAATGTTTGCCGGCAAGGTAAAGAGGCCACTCCTGGAGCAAGGAGCTAGCAAGGGGCACCTCCAGGTTGAGTTCGCCATGGGTACGGCGTGGTACCGGCCTAGTGTCGCCCCATAGCCCTTACGAAAGAAGGGGAAAAAGACCATAGCATACAGCATAATGTTGGGTCCTGATTAGTGTCCCCCCCAACGAAAAATGGGTCCCTATTTAGAGCAGGTAGGGGGGGGCCCCCCAACAAATCTGGATCCTAGGTTTTAATTAAAATTCAATAGGCGGATCAGGACCGGCTCGGAATCTTAGGTTTAACCTAAATTCAATAAGATGGATCAGGATCGGCTCGGATCCTAGGTTTAAATTAGATTCAATAGGATGGATCAAGATCGGCTCGGATCCTAGGTTTAAAATAGATTCAATAGGATGGATCAGGATCGGCTCGGATCAGGATCGGCTCGGATCCTAGGTTTTCAATTAAATTCAATAGGATGGATCAGGATCGGCTCGGATCCTAGGTTTAAAATAGATTCAATAGGATGGATCAGGATCGGCTCGGATCCTAGGTTTAAAATAAATTCAATAGGATGGATCAGGATCGGCTCGGATACTAGGTTTAAATTAAACTCAATACGATGCATCAGGATCGGCTCGGATCCTAGGTGTTCAGATCTTGACAGACAGTCTGGCGTTTAAATGCTGAGCCTTTTTAATTAAAAGGTTCTAGGCTTCTGTTATTTTAGGCGGTCGCGGATTTGACGGATAATTGAGGACCCCCAAAACATTCGTATTGTTGAGGATCCGGCCAGCTGCTGGACTACCCCTTAGGAAAAATCATTGGTAAGCCTCCTTGGATAAGCGGACTCATAAGAAATCGATAGTTTTGGACCTGGCTGGAACCTGAAAATCGGGAGTTTTGAGGTCCTCAAAATCCGGAGGTTTGAGGTTCTGGAAGCTCTGGCCAAAGGGTTCTAGTCTAAGTAACAAAGAAGAGCAGCTTGGATTAGGACCCTAAACTACTTACTAACTGCATTGCATGCTCAGGACTCAGGACAAAGGGTTTAGGGATTAGGACCTTAAACTAGATACTTATTGTTTGCCATGCTTTTCAAAGCAAATTAAGTTGATTTATTCTACTTACTCATTTTCAGAATTAATTTATTTGGCTGCGCAACTTCGCGCAATTAAGGGACCCCAAACGAACTGGGGGGGGGGCTGAATAATTTCGGCGAAGCTTCGCACAATTAGGGAACCCCACACTAGTCGGGAGCTAACATTACCGTAGCCATTTTGTTTCAATTCTCCGTTTACTTTGGGAGTATTCGCTCAGCCGGCCGCTAATGGAGGCGGGGGGTGGGGCCTGCCCCTGTGGGGTTGTATGTGCTGCTTCGGATGGGTGGTGTTAGCAAGGCGCAGGCCACTGCTAAGTGGGAATAGCTGCTGAGTTTCAGTGACATGAGGCGATGAAAATGAAGCAAGTGCATGCGACAGAGGTCCTGCGGAGACAGGCGCTCGAGGAAGGCGAATTCGACTGAACATGCATTTTTTAGAGGCGTCCTTAGATTGTCGCCTGCCACGAGGGCAAGCCACCGTCATCTGAATGGGAGCTGTCGTTTCCCACAAATTGTCTAAGCGAGCAGAAAGGAATCTCAGTGTTCTGGACCTGTTCAATTTTGTCAGCAGAGCCGGGATGAGAGGGAACCATATGCCCAAGAAACAAAAGGACGTGCATGATGAAGCTGCAGGGCAGGTCTAAGCCGTGATTCTTGGGATGGGTTCTGCTTTTCCCGGATGAACTGTCGTTTGGTGGTTCGGTTCGCCTTTCCTGTGTTGTCCTGGAGGCCGCCGCAGGTAAGTACAGAGCACATGCTTGGTCGCAATTGGGTCATGAGCAAACTGCAGTGGAACATGTGCTAGTCCTGCACTTTGTGGCGTTGGGGGAGTCCCAATTCATGCTGGAGATGTTGCCGGCAAAGCAGCAACGCCGAAGGAGCTTGCGGTACGCAGCTCCAGAGGGAGATTGATGTGTTTGGGTAGAAGTAGTTGCGCTACGAATCTTGCAAGCGGTGGCTGCGAACCCACGGGGATTATAAGTTGCACGATTCCATGCAGAAGGACGTGGTCTCAAACCCCGACCAAGCGCCAGGGGTCTCAAAGTTTGTACCTTTCTCGCTGGGTGATGTGTTAAGTATGTGGCCAGGGATTTAGGGTGCATCGAGCTTCTGGGGCCTGGCGCGGGCACATCGAGCTTCTGGGACCCGATTCGGACATGCCGCACGTGCAAGGGCATAATGCAGTGCCCTGGTGGGGTTGTATTGCCCCCCAAAGCCGGCAGAATGAGAGAGAAGCTTGCTGGGATTGGGGGTCGGCCCCTGCAAGGTCCTGGCAGCCTGCAAAAAAAGAAAAAGAAGAATGTATTTACTTTCTGCCCTTCAACTCGTCGAAGCTGCTGCTGTATGTGCATGCTGTGGGTTTCACGCTGACCTGACATGGACGGGCATTGTGCAGCTTGCGGTTGTGCCGCGGCGCTCGTTTTCGGGCGGGTGTGAAGCTGCAAGAAAAAGAAGGGAACGTGTGCGTGCACAAATCTTGAAAAGTGCTAACTTTTTTAGGGAAAGGTGACATATTTCGGATTTCTGGCCTTATGTTTGGTATTTGTAGCGAAGGTATTGTTTCGATAAATGGCATGAGAATGCTAAAGATTTGTGACCGTAAAGGGACAAGTGGGGACGACGTTTGATCCCTTCACTGTCCATGAGGGATGTGATGGCTTTTTTCCTATGGGGGTTGACTCGCCATGCAGAGAGGCAAGATGTGGGGGCGAGTGCCTGTCTCTAGAGCTTCCATCTCGGGAAGTGGCTTCCGGGAACGGAAAAAACCGTTGTGGATAAGCATTCCTTAACTCTTCCTTGCTACCCGTTTCTTTCCGACTTGCATTGACCGCGGACCGCTGGGCTTGCAGCTGTGCTGCGGTACCTCTGTAAAGGGGGTGCAAAGCCCGTAGAAGAAGAGCGCGAAATACGGTAGAATTGCTGCACAAATGAACGACAGAGAATAATTAGGCACTGGAAGTTTCAAATCCAGAAAGGTAAACCGGTAATTACCGAGCATGCAATTTCAAGCTCCAAACATGAGCAGCGTGATTCGAAGATGGGTTCGGGGAGGTACCTCGCGACCTGAGGCACTTAGCAGGGATCAATCAAAGATTCCGCGCAACTTGTCCCTTTCATGTAAGATAACGCTCTAAAATGCTTTTGGCTCGCTAGCGGCAGCTAAGGGCCGCCAGCTTTGTGCGAAAAGTGGGGTCGATGATCTAATTGACTAGTGACAGGGCGAGATGTGGGGGCGAGTGTTTGTCTTAGGAGTTTTGGTTCGGTGGAATTGGGGAGAAGCGGGTTGGGGAGAAGAAGATGAAGGGTGGGATCAGGAAAAAAAGCAAGAGAATATGAAGAAGAAGACGAAACAAAGAAAAAAAACAGAGACTGAGCGAATTCAAGTTGAAGGTGGCAAAGGCTTAAAAAGCATCTGAGTTGGCAGACATTTTGAGAGGCAGAGGGCACCGAGAAAGAGCAGGCTCATTTAAAAGTGAAACGTGGGATTTGTCCACGAGTTTTGTCTGCCGCTTCCAACACTAACCAACGGTGCACAGACCTGTACAGGTGGTGGAGATGCTATGCCAATCAACACGGATACCTCTTCATAGAAGATTATGAGGAGCCACAAGACCTGGTCAGAGCCTCAGGCAAAGCGGTGAGCCACAAGGTGCTTGGGACTGCATGCATGATGCTGGCCATTTCTGGCATTTTGGCCAGATGGCTTGAGGGGCAACGTCATCAGCAAAACATCCGTGCTTGCGTTCACCTGTCAACACGAAGCAGGGTTCCTCCCTAGATTTGTGCAAGTTCTTGGAATTACTAAATTCCAGCGGGTTTGCGGCAGGTGTGACGATGACAAGTATGTGTGTAGGCGCATCCTTTTTTTGTGCAAGGGCGCGGGGGTGCCCAGGGGGGAAGTCTGGGGTTTGCTTGGCACCTCTCACGCTATGATGCACGTGCTTTTACGTCGATGGGCTGGGTGCGTAGGCACAATGGTTTGGAGTCAGGAGAGGGGGGTCAGCTGGAGACCCAGGTGAATCATCCCACATTAGCCTCCTGAGGAGATGTAGGTGCTCTCGAATTTATCAGTGTATTTGTGAACCGCGACCAGGTCCCGCCATCTTTTGCAAGGCTGCTGTCGGCCACAGACTTGCAGGGCGTGGACAGGACTGGCTGGTTGCAAATAGGAACGCTTTCCAGTCAGATAAGTAGCTTATAGCAAGGCTGGCGAGCGATGATGCTAGCATGTACTGAGGCTTTCAGGGAGGGGGTTTGCTTGGCTGCTTATACTTATGTTCGTGCGAAGACCTTTGCATTGCGGGTCTTGCTCTCAAACTACGTGCAGTGGCAAGTGGATCATGTGCTCGCTCTGATGGAAGTGTGACGAGCCGCCAGGCTCAGTCTCTATGCGCTGCAGGAGTCCCTTAACCGCATGGCGTGAGATCCTGTTGAGGAGAGCTCGTTGGAAAGCCGGTTTGTATCCTACATTCCTCTCGAACCCCATGGTAACGCAAGGTAAGACACGCAAAAATGTCGAGAGAAGTCACTGTGTGAGTCGTACGCTGCAGGCAACTGTCTCGATATGCGTGGCTAAAGTGGCTTTCCGCTAAGCGTTACCTCCAGCAAGTGGACTGGCTGGTAGTAGTGGATCCTGCTTCTTGGCAGCCTCAGCCCATGCGAAGGTTTGTCTTTCTTGCAAGAGCGGTGCAGTTCAGCTACAGACAGCGCACTTGTTTTCATTTTAATGTTGCTCTGGGGTTCACTGTAGAGCAATTAGGTTTGGATGGAACGGAGTTGTTCAATTCAGTTTGGTGCCTGGTCTTCTGGAGCCATGGTCCAAGGACATGTTTCCCACTCCAGGATGCGGTATGGAGCTCCCAGTCGTGGAGATGTACAAAAACATCTGCAGTTTCGCTGCTGAATGCAGCGTGATATCCAACGATATGTGGCCACGAGATTGGGTTGCTGAAAGCGAGAAGCGCAAGGTTGCAGGATACGTAGCTGGTGGTCAGGACTGTGGGTTCATGATTGCCAACAGAGCTCGACTATTTGCCCTCGATTTGTCTTGCTTAAGCTGGGCTGACTGCTGGCACGTCAGTCTTTTCTGCACAGGACAAGAACGCAGGATTCACCATGATCCGCAATGACGAGCAGTTTGGCTGCAGTGCTTGCATGCAGCAACCTACCAAAGACACTGTGCTGCGGACACTTTTGACCCACTAAGGTTGCTCACTACCGTGACACCATGTCAGTTTCATTAGATCTGTATACAATATTGTGCTTAGTACATGCTGTTCTTAAACGTCGGCGTGTCAAAACAAGGTTAGGGCGACTCTTCTTGGAGCTCGTGCTGGCGGGGTTGAGAGTGCAATTCAAGGACCGTAGGTTGAACGGTAATAACGTTTCGATCGCTGCGAGGACCGGAGGTGGTGGTTTGGCCTCGGAATGCCTGACCAGGTGCGCTAGGGTTTTGGGGCAAGCAACCTGATCAGTAGCTTGCTGTCAGCCTGGAAGGATGCGGCTGGAGAGGCCTTGTTAGAACTTCTGTCCCTCGAGAACTCACTGCTGGGTGGCCAGCTCTATGTTGCTCGGCACTGGAAGCATCTCCAGCATTTGTCCACTTCGAATTGGAAGCTATAAGGACAATGCCTGCATGCTGGAGATGTTTTTAGCCGAGTCCTCAGACAGAGGAGTCAGAATCATCGGGCTCCGGCTCATGCCTGCCTTGTTCCAGTAGCTTCAGGTACAATCGCCGTATGGCTGTGCTTAGCAATGTTGGCACCGTGCAGTGGTCAAGGTAGAGGAACTTAACATGCTCTCCTTACCTGGCTGGCCAATGAGGCCCCTGCCAGCGCATTGGCACTTCTGTAGCTTGCTTGCAGGAATAGTGTTGCTTTGTACGACCCAGACGTCATTCAATTCAAAACATTCCGGAAAAAGCCGTGACAATTTCCTCTTCCACCACCACAACCCCCACCACGACTACCACTACCACTACCACTACCACTACCACTACCACTACCACTACCACTACCACTACCACTACCACCACCACTACTACTACTGCTGCTGCTGCTGTTATTACTACTACTACTACTACTACTACTAGTAGCCGGCCCCGCCCCCTACCAACTATGTTTGCTCAAATGGCCAATATGAATGTGGGGGAAGCGGCATTAGAAAGCAGTAAGCAACATGACAACGAAATGCTTTCCACGCAGGGTGCTGGTTAGTTCTCGAAGGCCTGCTTTGCGAGCCTTACCTGGACCATGGCTCCAAGAGATGCCAACGTGAACACACTGTCATCGAAGATTTCGACGGGTACAATCAAAAATGCGGGC